GGGTATACGAGGGATGAAAGGGGGAGAAGATGAAACTCAAATAGAGTTTTCGATCAATCAGGCCTAGTGAGGTGTGTCGGGTTGATTGTGTGTTGCGGTAACTGGAAAATTGGCCGTCATCTTTTGCAGACCATCTGATATTTTGGGCTTCGTTTTTTTTTTATCAATGGCTCAATATTTTTTGTGTAGACCTAAGATTTTATATTTTCTAATGGTCCATAAAAACAAATATATTATTATTATATAAATTGGTGATAGCCGCGATATCAGTTTTTATTTTATACGAGTATCGCAACAACATCGAGTGAAACCTCTTCAGTTTCCTCTTGTGTTGATTTCCGATCGTATGGTTACAGCTTTTGTTTCCATTCGCACACTCATCTCCACGTCCCACATTGTAGGCTCCGTAATTACAATACTGAGAAAGTAAGTTTTAACTATTTGCAGTAGGGCGTGACTGTAATCCTTCGTCCCTCAATTCTTCAGAAAAGTTGATGTTTATTGGTTTTTAATTATTTTTTTTTGTGCTGCACTATAGTAAATTGGTACTGGCTAAAGTTTAGAGTGGTTAAATATTTGACGAGAAACATCTAGAGCCGTCATGAGGTCAGGTGGTTTACCACTAGACGGACCACCAGCTTGTTGGCAATTACAGCGGTCACACTATAAACAAACAGATCGTCTCGAGATGATTTAGTGTTAGAAGATTGCTGCTGAAAGTACTTGTTTAAAGATGCTAATAAAATGGTCACGTGTCAAGATGGAAGATATTTTATGTGGTTAAGATTAAATATGTATTTTACGTGGTAAAGATTGAATATATTTTATGTGGCCAAGATTGACACAAATGTGGAGTGAAACATGCACTAGAAAGTTAACTGGGAATCTTTTTTAGGCAGGTCACATATTCGTCATGCTAACCGAAAACATACGACATAATGGTGTTGTTAACCGACAACATACAACATAATGGTCATCTTAACTGACAACATACAAGATTATGGTCATGTTAAACACACTATACAAGCCAACAACATACAACAAAATGGCCATTAATCAACATATAAACTGACGACATACAAAATAAACAACATACAACATAAACACCATACAAACATATGTCAAATTATCCAACTTGAGACAGCTACGTTTATGACGAGAGCACGTAAAAAACTTGGACGGGGAAAAGTGAAGGATCAAGTGCTCGACACTTAATTGAATTAAAGAACGGGGGAATCGTTGACTTTGTACTGGGATCCGTCTGAACAGTTTGTTTGCTGTTTGCTGTTTATTTTTTTTTATTTTGGTGTGTGTTAAATACTGTGTAGGCAGGATTTTGTCATGGGGGGGGGGGGGGCTCATTTTTTAAAAACTATTTAATAGCTTACCTAACTTAACCTACCTCAACCAAATGCATTTTAGTGGACTTGCTCTAACTTATCAAATATTTCAAACTTTACGATCTCTAAATGAACAATAAATAAATAATAAATAAAAGCATTTTCAAAGACAAAAAACAACAACAACAAAACAAACAATAAACAAACACATTGTTATGTAATATGTATAGAAGCGATCTTGTCTGTTCAAAGACTTTTCTTTATATAAAAAATCTATTTAACAACACCTACGCTAAGAGCTTTTTATCAAATATAAAAATCCGTAGAGCAAAAATAAATGTCCACGATAGCTTCAGACAACGTTTGTTAACATTTTCAGTAGTATCTGCTATTTTCTGGTATAAACATACCTGCTCTGCTAGTGCTGACTTGAGTCTATATCAGCAACCTTAATCGCTGAATGTCCTAAATCAAGCTTTAAATCTAACCATGGATAACTCTGTAGTCCACCGTCTAATTAGGTTTTAAACAGCGGGAGTGAGCTCCCCTAAGCCCTAAGTTTTCTAATAATAATAAAAGGCCTTACAACAGTAAGGGTTGGTGTAATGATTTCAGTGGAATCGGGCTAGAGAAATGTTCTTACAAAAGGCTGTCTTGCAATAATATGAAGTAAGATTATCGAATTCTAAAATCTTGAGATAGATTGGAAAGAAATCCCCGGTTAACGTAAATTGGTCTAAGGTCTTTACTAACCTACGCAGAAGATCTAATACATAATATTAATTATTATAGCCAATGGGATCAGCAGGATTTATCAGAAAGGATTTTTTTTTAATTCTTATATAGAAGCCCCCCCCCCTCCCATATATATATATATATATATATATATATATATATATATATATATATATATATATAAAATATGTGTTTATATGTTTATATACACAATATAATGATATTATTTACCCCCTTAAAACACCCCTGTCTACATAATAATTATTACCCAGCTACCATCACAGGAGCAACAAAACACTAGATCACATGCTAGATCACGTGCCAGACCACCACCTGTACCCCCTATATTTGAAATATTTGACCGGGGAAACTAAAGCGACTGAGCCTCAACTTGTAGACTGTGTTTATCTACCCTCCCCACCCCGTCTCTGTGAAGGGCGGCCACTCTTAAAATGTTTGTACAGCTGGCTGTCAACACACCAACATGAGGCATAAACAAAAGCCGGTCCTGGCCCTGATCGAACTAAAATCTTTCACTCCTTACATAAACATATCAATACGCCATAATTCACCGGTACGATTACTGCACGGTTTACGACAAAGGAACCCATTCGTTATCCAGCAGTACTCACCGTCCAAGGGTATCGATACTTCATGTGGTATCCTAGTAAAATTTATCACCGATACCCTTTAAAGGTATCGATACTTTTTTCCTTCTGCTCTTTGAATATCAAATTTAACTTGACATTATACATTTCCCTGTTTGTATTTTTATTTTTGTCCACGGCAATACTTGATATTTCTACTATGGAATTAAAATGGCATCGGGCGATCACTTTTTACCTTGGGGTAAAACCATGTCTGTCTTCACTGTTGAACACAGACACAGACTTTTTGTCTGGGTTGGCTAGCGGAAGATCACGTGACAATTAAAACAAAAATTGTGTGCACAAAAATAAACTTCTCGCTCGTTGGCATTTGATAACAAGCAAACTGTTTCTCGATACTGCGGTATCGAGTGTGCCAGCAAGACGTTTCCTCGATACTGGGGTATCGAATGCGCCAGCAAGACGTTTCCTCGATACTGCGGTATCGAGTGTGTCTGAAGACAAGAGCAGACCACTATAAGACAATCGTGTCAGACTGTCTTAAACAAGTGTACACAGACAACTGCTCAGACCGCTAATAGGCCCACCTATTGGCGTCATTAGAAAACCCCACACATTTGAGAGATATATCCATGTGGATAACCATGTGGATATGTCTCCATGTTGCCCAACAGCTGTAGGGTGGGTCGAACAATGATATGTGGAGATCTGGGTGGATTACGTTGATAACTAGACAGACAAACTGACATACAGACACAACATACGACGTCTGGCATTAGAAAACTGGTGAAGAGTTGGCCAGATCTTTTGAGGGTGGGGAGGGCAGATTTAGTGAGAGGCGATAGGGTGGGGAGGGCAGATTTAGTGAGAGGCGATAGGGTGGGGAGGGCAGATTTAGTGAGAGGCGATAGGGTGGGGAGGGCAGATTTAGTGAGAGGCGATAGGGTGGGGAGAGCAGATTTAGTGAGAGGCGATAGGGTGGGGATGGGGAGGGAAGACAGATCATGCTGTGAAAAGTCTAACCTCATAAACTCCAGGACTTAAACTTCCAAACAAAATATTTTTGGCAGGCAGGCCTGTCGTTAAGGTCTTAAAGAGTTAATAAAAAACACCAATATATATGTACTTGTTTTGATGTTTTTGATTGTCTAGATGATCCATCTGTTTAAAGCTGTCACTTGATTTAAGTACACATGTACTGTGTATGTTATCAACTCAAATCCATCGTGTACACATATGTTGTGTGTGTTGTCAACTACATCGTGTACACATATGTTGTGTGTGTTGTCAACTACATCGTGTACACATATGTTGTGTGTGTTGTCAACTACATCGTGTACACATATGTTGTGTGTGTTGTCAACTACATCGTGTACACATATGTTGTGTATGTTGTCAACTACAGCATGTACACATATGGTGTGTATGTTGTCAACTACATCATGTACACCTATGTTGTGTATGTTGTCGACTACATCGTGTACACATATGTTATGTATGTTGTCAAATCCATCATGTGCACATGTATTGTGTTGTACTGAATTCCATAAATCATTGAACATAGCAGAATATTCTTTTCCCCAGGTCGGTCCTATGCTGATGATGTATCACACGAACTACTAGCCCCAACAATTGATGGTGAAGATGTATCACACGAACTACTAGCCTGTACTTGATGCTGAAGATGTATCACACGAACTACTAGCCCCAACACTTGATGCTGATGATGTATCGCACGAACTACTAGCCTGTACTTGATGCTGAAGATGTATCACATGAACTACTAGCCCCAACCCTTGATGCTGATGATGTATCACATAAACTACTAGCCTCAACACTTGATGCTGATGATGTATCACACGAACTACTAGCCTGTACTTGATGCTGATGATGTATCACACGAACTACTAGCCTGTACTTGATGCTGATGATGTATCACACGAACTACTAGCCCCAACACTTGATGCTGATGATGTATCACACGAACTACTAGCCCCTGTACTTGATGCTGAAGATGTATCACATGAACTACTAGCCCCAACCCTTGATGCTGATGATGTATCACATAAACTACTAGCCTCAACACTTGATGCTGATGATGTATCACACGAACTACTAGCCTGTACTTGATGCTGATGATGTATCACACGAACTACTAGCCTGTACTTGATGCTGATGATGTATCACACGAACTACTAGCCCCAACACTTGATGTTGATGTGTTACTCACCATCACGTGCCATATCACGTGACCACCATCACGTGTCATATCACGTGACCATCATCACGAGCCATATCACGTGACCATCATCACGTGACCACCATCACGTGACCACAGTGTTCTGACCACACTGACCAACAATGGGGATGTTCCACTCACTGATGTGCAGGCCCTGTGCCAGATGTCGCCGGCGTCACTGCCAGTTGTCCAAGTATCTGACGCCGCGTCAGGTGCAGCTTGTCCAGTGCACGTGGTCGATACTAAAGATGGACTTGACAACTCTGGGGATCACCGTCTTCCTGCAGTAAATCGCTGTCTTGTGATAATGTCGTGGAAATGTCGTGTTAATGTCGTGTTAATGTCGTGGTAATGTCGTGCTAATGTCGTGCTAATGTCGTGCTAATGTCGTGCTAATGTCGTACTAATGTCGTGCTAATGTCGTGGTAATGTGGTAATGTCGTGGTAATGTCGTGCTAATGTCGTACTAATGTCGTGGTAATGTCGTGGTAATGTGGTAATGTCGTGGTAATGTGCTAATGTCGTGCTAATGTCGTGCTAATGTCGTGCTAATGTCGTGCTAATGTCGTGCTAATGTCGTGGTAATGTGGTAATGTCGTGGTAATGTCGTGGAAATGTCGTGGTAATGTCGTGCTAATGTCGTACTAATGTCGTGGTAATGTCGTGGTAATGTGGTAATGTCGTGGTAATGTCGTGCTAATGTCGTGTTAATGTCGTGGTAATGCCGTGCTAATGTCGTGCTAATGTCGTGGTAATGTCGTGGTAATGTGCTAATGTCGTGGGAATGTCGTACTAATGTCGTGCTAATGTCGTGCTAATGTCGTGGTAATGTGGTAATGTCGTGGTAATGTGGTAATGTCGTGGTAATGTCGTGCTAATGTCGTACTAATGTCGTGGTAATGTCGTGGTAATGTGGTAATGTCGTGGTAATGTCGTGGTAATGTCGTGCTAATGTCGTGCTAATGTCGTGGTAATGCCGTGTTACCACAATGTCGTCTTACCAAACTGTGTTACCACAATGTCGTGTTCATGTTTTATTGACTTGGTATCGATTGTTTCTTAAGCTGGACATGAAAATATTTTACTTCGCTATCTGACCTTGACTTTAGTTTCCCACTTTGTTTACCACTACTTAATGTGATTAATTACTAATGAAAATATGCCTCCCCTTCCTTTACACCCCCACCTCCGCCTCCACCCCCATGTTTTGTCGTTAACTGGATCTGAGATCGCCTTACTCAACGACCAATGACAACACTCTTGACGAAGTAGTTATCTCTTCTGGGTATTCCCTGAACGATTAATTTAGGACAAAAACGTATCGGGAAATCAATATTTGTACTGACCAAAGGGAATTTCCTGACAGAATTGCTTTCCATTATTTTAGGTATCTCTAACATTTCGGTGAAATATTAGAAACTGATTTAATGTATAAATATAAAGGCTAAATGTCACTAGTTCTTTTTCCTTTTTCCAGTTAGGTCCACGGCATTCCGACTGAGGGTGCTTCATTGACAACTGATCGTTCCCAAGTTTATTTGTTGGTTTGTTTGCCTCCCCCACTTTTCTCTTTCTCTTGGAGATTCCAATCTAATACCTGTCTGATGATGCTGTTTGTCGGTTTCTGCAAGGTGTCCATGGCTATGTGGTCAGCAGAGTTTCTTCCAGACTTTTTTCTCCGGGGGGAGGGGGGGAGTAGGTTGGACACTTGAAATTGTCGTGGGGGCGGACACTGTTAAAGGTATATATTTTCTATATAAATTCCATTTCGTTCGGGAGGGGGGGGCGGTAGACTTTCTTCGTCCCCCTCCCCCTGAAGAGATGCCTGGAAGAAACTTTGGTGGTGAGTGCGTGACATGTTCTGGCGAATACCTGCTGTTCTGCTGTTCTGCTCTGAATTTCTTGTCCATTGCCTCCCCCCCTCCCCCCCTCCCCCATTAAATGTTAGTGCAATATCTAGCCCGTATAACTTCTACAGCAAGTGGGCACTTCATTCATTTTTCAAACTCTATTTCATGGTTACATTTTAGTTACATCTAGTTAGGGGTCGACCATAAATGACGTTACATTCACAGGGTGGAGGGGGGGTCCGTAATTTTGTGACGGTGTGTGACGAGGGGGAGGGGGTTCAGATGGTGCGACGTCACACTTTTGCATTACAAAAAAAGAATGTTAGAAAACGAATTTTAGACGTTATTTCGCGTTTTAGAAAACTGTTTTAATAAATTGCAATAGGAATTGATTAAAATACTCTATTTTGACAGAGTTCAGACAAAATTTTGGAAAAATATCGATGTTTTAAGAAAAATTCAACTGCAATTTTGAGGGGGGTGGTAGGCCAAGGTGTGACGTCATTTTAGGGGGGGGGGGGGGTTCTGGCTGTTTGTGACGATGTGTGACGGAGGGGAGGGGGGAGGTAAAAATCGTCCAAAAAAGCGTGACGTCATTTATGGATGACCCCTTAATGGCTTGTTATAATTACCGAACACAACTATGTAATGGCTTGTTATAATTACACGTCCACCAAATGGCTCGTTTTTTATGACACGAAAAAAATTAATAAATTGGCTTCTGCTTGTTTATTTTCATCCATCATTTAGAAAGGCAGTTTGTGTTTTTAGATTACCTGGCGCCTTACAGATAAAATGCCAAGCAACAAAACCCTCTCGGGATTTCAACTTATAACATGGGTTTTTAATACACGTGTCACTTTTTCATTGGATAAATTATGCAAACAGTTTGAAAGTATCACAGTCTTAATTAAAGGTTATGTTTTGAAGCGTTTCATATTAAAATAATTATGTATATTTTTTCGATTATAAAAATATGTATTCTGTGTTGTATTTTTAATACAGAGTGTGTGTACTTTCTGTTGATTTTCTCTTGGCCGCCAGATTATCAAGGGAAGGCACTGCGAGTTCTTTCCCACATGGGTTATCTAATCATGAATAATATATAGTGTTAATGGGTGCACGGAAGAGTCTTGACGTCCTGTACCGTGTTCTCGATGATAAATGCGCTGTTGATTCTCTTATGTTTTTATCTCTCGCGGGAGAGGCTTACGTGTTATTGTATGTAGAGTTAAAGATGTTTTAGAGAGGTATCTCTGGCTTTACGAGCTTTTGTAGGTTTCCGTTGGCTCAAGTAGGGGGGTTTTAATTAGTACAAATTTGGTGTCACTGTTTTTGTGGTGTAAGGTCTACATTATTGCTCAAGGAAGTTAGGGGGAATGCATTAGAAATTAGAGGGAATACATTAGAAGTTAGATGGAATTCATTAGAAGTTAGAATGAAAATGAAATCATTAGAAGTTAGAGGGAATGCATTAGAAGTTAGAGGGAATGCATTAGAAGTTAGAGGGAATTCATTAGAAGCTAGAAAATAACTATACATTAATAATTTGAGGACATATATACGTAGTTAGAGGACACGTATGAGTAGTTAGAGGACACGTATGAGTAGTTAGAGGACACGTATGAGTAGTTAGAGGACATATATACGTAGTTAGAGGACTTGTATAAGTAGTAAGTGGACATATATACGTAGTTAGAGGACACGTATGAGTAGTTAGAGGACACGTATGAGTAGTTAGAGGACACGTATGAGTAGTTAGAGGACATATATACGTAGTTAGAGGACTTGTATAAGTAGTAAGTGGACGTGTATAAGTAGTTAGAGGCCATGTATAGTTAAAGGACATGTATAAGTAGTTAGAGGACATGTATAAGTAGTTACAACGAGCTGACGCGCGCCGTAAGCATACGCCGCTATTTAGTTGTTTTATTTGCTACTTTTCAGTAATTTCAGTAATTCATAATTTGTGAATTCGACACTACCCTCTCTTTCCACCCCCCCCCCTTTTCTTCCCCCCTCCCCCTCCCCCCTTTGGGGTGTGGGTGGTGGCGATATGCCTAGAGAGCGGGGTAGGAACGGCTTACCCCTTACTTGGTGGTGTCTTGTATGGTCCCCACGTAGAGAATTACATAGCTAGATTTATAGACTAGGTGTGAGTAATATTGTACAAGCCGAGTGGGCGTTACAATCGGGCTCATTAATTTTTTTTTTTTTTTTTTTTTTAATACTTTTATTTTTCAATTTAAATCAAATACAGTAACATTCCACGCCGTACGGGTGGATATTTACAATTTTTTTTTTTTTTTAATACATCAAATTATTTGACATAATTTTGAACACCAAATGAAAACGAAAGGTTTTGCAAATGTACATAAAGAATATTTACATGATGTCATGTATTTGATTATAAAAAATTGCAAAGGATGACAGTAAAAGGGGTGAAGGTCAAATGAAAGTGTCAGAAGAGCAGAGTTTCTTCCAGGCATCACTTCGGGGGGGCAAAGCCCCCCCGAAAATTTTTTACCGCCCCCCCCCCCCCCCGAACGAAATGAAATTTATATAATTTATATAGAAAATATATACTTTTAACAGTGTCCGCCCCCCCCCCCCGAAGAAAGTTTACCGCCCCCCCCCCCCCGAAGATTTTAAGTGCCCCCCCCCCCCCCCCCGGAGAAAAAAGTCTGGAAGAAACACTGCAGAAGAGGAAAGGAGAGGAAAGGAAATTTTTCAGAGAGGGTCAATGGGACAGTGAAGCATTTTCTATGTAGGGAAACAACTTAAGTTGACTAGCTGGAAAGGGTGTTGTAGTGGTCGCATTGAGTTTTCAAAAGGTTGCAGTGTGAAAGATGAGGGGAAAGAGACAAGATTTAGAACTTTAAATAAGTTCTGGATATTGATGTTGCGGTGGGTGGTGGGGTCGTTGGAACAGTTAAAGGGATTGTGGGGTTATCATGTCTGAGGGTAAAGTGGATAGAGGGGGAGAGAGGAGGGGGTAGATTTTTTTTATTTTTATTTTTATTTTTATTAATTCAATTGTTTTAAACATTTAAATCAGTAATAATAATATATTTGATAGATTTTACACAGCATCAAAGACATGAACAATGAACATCAATTGCATATATAATAATCAAAGGGAACAAATAAAATGGCATAAGAACTAGATTAAAATAAGGTGTGCAAACTGTGGATATTTACAATAATTCTTCAGAAGAACAACATCCGGCTAAAAAAGTAACGTACAAGTCAAAACAAACATCTAGTTTTGGCTTTTCTTTTTAATTCCGCTCTGTTTTTGTCATGTATTTGTACTCAATTTTTTATTGCGTATCATATTTTGTCTCAAGTCACCCATAATCTTTAAAATTTCCTATTATTCTATTTAATATTGTCTGAGAGTTTTCATCTCAATAAAAGACTTTCTCCTTAAAGC